TAGAAGCAGCCATCTTGAAGCCTGGATGTCCATAGTTTTGACAGTTTTTCTAGCTGTATGTCTTACATCTATCTATCTATCTATCTATCTATCTATATATATATATATATATATATATATATATATATATATATATATATATATGTAGAGAGAGAGAGAGAGAGAGAATAATAGATTACCTGTTATCTTGGCTGATCAATCATACATCATACTGGGGTATGAAGAAATTTGTGTAAACTGTATGTTTTTAACTATACTATTGCTTTAGCTTCTACAATCACAAGTGACATTTTTATTTTCCAGGCCTGTTTAATGGACGTGTGTGTTTTGAGAAACACATGAACAGTCATGGTGGTTTGTGGGTGGAAGTTGAGACAGTCAACACATTCATAAGTGAGGCCTCATGCAAAATCTGCCCAGATACAGCGAATGACAATGGCAAGCAGTATCAGCGGTTTTCTTTTTCTTACGGAAGGCTCAATATAGCTCAACGTGTGATGCACTTCAAATCATGTCGCAACACTATAAAGCGAGGGTCTGAGATAAACACATACATGTCTGTTCCTTTGTAAGGACGACCACGTTCCACTTTTTATACATAATGTGCATGTGACCATGCTACTGTGATGGACTTCCTTGTTTCCCCTGCAACACTGAATCTTAATAATACTATGTAAATTAGCGCCACATAACACACAAACACACGCCTACACCAATCCATTCGGCTAGCGTTAGCCTTTTTCTTGGGCATGAGAGAGGGGTGGGGGTTGGTCATCTGTTTCCTTTTGAGGGAACTTCCTCAACACAGAGAAAGAGAGAGAGACCTTGTTCACAGTAACACACATGCATTTGAAAACACAAAAGTCTTCCATGATTTGGCCATGCGTTCTCCTTTAAATGACTTTACTGGTCTTTTTGAAAACTTTGAGGCTGGGTATTTTTGAAAATGTCATTTTTTCTCTGTAGAGCAGAAGGGAGAAAAAATGACTGTTTAAAATGCAAATCCAGAGGACAATTTCATTGCTCAAATGTTGATCCCTAATGGCGATTCTCACTCTGTTTTGTGTCTTTGTATAAAGTTTGTCACAGATGTTTCTTCTTCAGGAGAAATAGCATTAGACAAAAAGGAGACATTAGATACTTCTGGCCCAGATAGAAAATTAGAACAGTTATTCACTGCATGGATGAGAAAAGGTTGCGTTCCTGTTTTTAGTTCAGTTGCAAATAAATATGAGTGTATGATTTTGACAAATTTGAGCACAGTGTGTGACTTCTCTACTAAAACTCAACTTTACTGGGAACATTTTCTCAGGAGAAATATCTGAGCAGGAGAAGACTTTCAAATTGTTCTTTGTTTTCCCATCTCATCTCAGTGTATTCTAGGAGAAACTGCAGAGACATTAAGGAGATTTCTTTTTTGTTTTTCTTTCCTATGGGTAACAACTCATCCTATGATTGGCCCTGGGCTGTCACATGATTTCAGGGACATTCCATGTTTTATCTGAATCCTGTAACAGACATATTAACTTTTTTTTGTACCTTTTAGCAGTTTTACAGTGACTCAGTAAAAAGGTCTGGCACAGAGCTGGTGCCTCTGAAGCCTAGTTAGGCTACCACTCAAATTCACAGTTAATGGGGTACACAAAAAGATCTATATAGCACCAAAAAAGGATTCTTCTATTGTCACAAGCTTGACATGGTAACAATAACAGAACCTTTTTGGTACTATATAGAACCATTTTCGAAAATGCTGTATGTAGACACATATAAAAAACATAAATCTGAAGAACCATTTCACAATGCAAAGAACCCTTTGATCATGCAAAGGGTTCTGTGAATGTTAATGGTGCTATATAGAACCATTTTCTTTACTAAAGAACCCCTGAAAAACCATCTTTTTTAAGAGTGTAGGACTTCCAGAAAATCTAAAAATGTTTTTTTCACAGAAATGTGATTAATTAAGTTGGTAATTTGACATGTAAAGCATTCTGTCCAGCTCCTGAAGTCTCGCTTGACAATATCTACCTAGATACCACAAAGAAGAAAAAATCTGAATGGACTTTATTCATTGAGTTGCTAAATACACATCTGCCTTTATTGCCCATTTTATCAGAAACAACTACCAATTAGGTGCACTTAAAAAATTTAATTATTCACTGAAGCCCATCTGTTCCTATGCACAATATGTCAGCCATCATCCCCTATTCATCAATAGAAAGGTGGAAAGACCACCATAACATGGTAGTGGCACAGTATTAATATTTTGAGATGGTATGAGTGTTAGGCACCACAGTATTGCTGTGGTTTTAAACATTGTGTACTGTATTTATTCGCTGAATCAAATATTTTATTAGAAATATTAGATTTTCTATACTGCCTATCTAAGGACGTAAATCTTATTGATCCATACTGATCAAAAGAAGTTTCAGGAACTTAATCGTTTTGTTTCTTAATCATATTAAATAAAAATGAACAACGATTACAGACATGTATTTTCTTTTTGTTTCATAGAAATCCTAGAAATCCTAGAAGGCACTGAGGGTTCCAAAGCGAGAGAAATAGTGAGAGAGACAGAAAGGAAGGCAGTGCTATTGACACTCAACAGGCAGCCCTGTCCGTGTGCTGTCCATGCATAAACTGAATATAATGTATGATTATTATGACAAGTTCCATAGATACTGATGTGCTGTGGAGCACTATCTGTTCTGTTCTATATTTAAATCAAGACAGAGCTGCGCGGTTCCCATGGTTTTTCCGTTTAACCACATCATAGCTCAAATATCTGTGCATGTGTGTACGTGCTGGAGTATGTTTATGAAGGCCCGCATGCCTGTGTTGCACATACGCACATATGTTCATGTGTTCATGGCTCTGTATAACTGCATATGTCTGCATATGTTTGTGCCCATGACATCGTGGTCACAGGACCCCCTGGCACATTTGGGCCTAGTTCCTGTTCCCCATGTCACAGTCTTCCATCTGTTTCCTATGAGCAAAAAGGTCTAATCTACTTTCACATCTTATTCCACAATCGCCACTGCAAAGTCATTTGATTGGATGTTTTTTTTTCTACAACACAATAGCAATATATGCTAACATCAGCTTCTATTTCTACGCTCTTCAGCATATTCAGCTTAACTGCTCACTGACCCGTTCTCTCAATGTTGCCCTTTGCTTATCTTAATCGTAACCTTTTTACCTTTTCTGCAACTGTATGTTGGAGTTTTTTTTAGTTTATTCCAACATTTACTCATAGGAAGGAATCAGCTCTGAGCCAGAGATGAGGACTCGAGTCAGTGACAGACTCGAGTTGAACCTCGAGTCACATTATAGAAAAAAAGCTTCAGTCTAAAGGACAGAGTAAAAGTAAAGAGTAAAGTCTGACATGCAGTAAATGTGGTGTTCAAAAGAAATGAGGCAAAACAGTCGGTTAATCTGCAGTTTGGATAGCAAGTATGCTAGCTAGCGATTTAGCTAATTTAGCTTTAGTTGTCAGATAATCTAGCTGAAGTTTCAGTAGGTTACAGATCACATTCCTTTAAAATGGTAGCTGGATTAGCTGCCACTCTAACTAGCTAGCATAGCTGCTATACAAAATACAAGTTCAAAATACAAATTCAAGTTGTTTTGCCTCTTTCCTCGAAACACCACATTTACCATTTCTGTTCTGTCCTTCAGTCTGAAGGTCTTCCTATAAAGGCTTGTTATGTGAAGCCATGCTGAACCTGACAGGTTTTAAGTAAGGGTTTACTTTGGCTAACAAAGAGACAAAACTAAAATTCTCTACTAAAGACTTGAGACAACTTGGACTCGCGGCAAAATGGGTTTTATATAGTACAACAAAAGGTTCTATTACTTAACAATAGAGGAACCTTTTTTAAAGCTACATAGAGCCATTTTTAAAAGGTTTGTTAAAGAACTATAATCAACAGGGTGTGTTTCAACGCGCTCATCAACTTCGACTCACCACACAAATGGCCACTCACAGCACAAAGAGGAGAGAAGAGAGTGAGAAGCAGACATTTAATCAGGACCCACTCCCCCTCGGCTAGGCTAATAGGTTAGTAAGTGCATTAGCTAGTAATGCAAACTTTGTCCCACAAAACATTTTTGGGAAGTCTAAATGAAATGTACAGACGTTTTGTGAATAGCTGCTTTGTCTGGCGATAAGCTTTGCTGTAGAATTGTGGTATGTTGGCTTTATTTGTTTGTTGTTGCTCATTGTGTAGCTTTTAGTTTGCTAACTAGCAAGCTAGCAGAGTAAAGTATTGAAGTTACTTATTAAATTAATGGTATCAGATGGAGTAGTTTGCTACCTGAAACCCAGTCTGAACAGAGGAAACTGAATGTTATGGTTTTGAAATATTAAGCATTTTAATGGCTTATGGCTTATGAACAGCCTTGTTCAGCATTTTGGGGGTGTTGAAAAGTGGAAATGGCCCTTAAGATGGTGTTGGAGATTCCTGTAACGGGAAATGACAAGGCCAAGTCAGCAAATCAGAAACACCTACCATATAGGTGCACTTTGCAGGGATAAAATTATTGACTGAAGCCCGTCTTTTCCACACAATATGTCAACCACCCTGTCAGCCACCATCATAGCATCGTAGTAGCACAGCTTTAATATTTTGAGCTAGTATGAGTGTTAGGCACAGCTATATTGCTGGGGTTTTAAACACTGTGTACTGTATTTAACCACTGAATTAAATTATAGATTAAAAATATTAGATTTCTTTTACAGTCTGTCTAAGGATGTGAATCTTCTGACTCTGTACTGATCAAAAGAATGATAAGTGCCTCAAATGTTAGGTTGCTGCAGCTAATGAGTGGCTGACCGTCAGTCATAAAGCGTGTTCTCCAACTCCAAAACATTGCCTTGCATGAACTACTCGTGTTCACGGAAAACTGCGCACGATCGACCAAGCATGTGATCCGACCACATTTCACTCAATGGGTGGTCTGCCGTCACAGTCGCAGATAAGAGTCTCCATTCATACATGAACATCTTTCATACTTAATTTATTCTTTGGGTCTTACAGATAAACAGTATGGGCAAAAGTTCAAGATTTCAAATATACAAGTGCAGAGGAAAAGAAATCACATGGTTTACTTCAGATGGAAAAAAGGGTTAAAATAGCCTTATGTAAGGGTCCAGTTTGAGGAACTGCTGTCAGATAAAACTAAACCAAACTGCAACAGTTGATTTCGCATGAGCCAGACATTATCTAACACCATCAAGCACGAAACCGAAGCTCATGCTGGAATGTTGCCAGAAACTTTACTGTCAATAAGGGAGACCCTCATTTTCTGTGTGAGCAGAAAATAAAAGTCCAGTGGGAGGACTGAAACAGGACAAATGTCTGGAAAACAGTACGTGAAACATTAAAATAGTAAGCGCTGCAGAGCATAAAGAGGAACAGATGCCTTGGAGTCTGACATGACTGACAGTGGGTGGAACATGAGGAATGATTCTTTTAGGAAGTTCAGAAACTTTTATGAATTTTCCTCCAATGAATTCGATACGTAGCACTGCTGTGTAACAGTACAGTGAACATTACCTGTCTTTCCCGCATCCAAATCTGTCCAGACAGGCCCGTCTGTTTCTGGTTTCTCAGGAATCTTAACAGAGTTCACTGAACTGTTTAAGCCAAACATTGTTTATCGCCATCAACTAGTCCTTAAACTTCTGCCAAAACACAGAACACACTTCTACTGATCTGCAGAGGTGGGAAGCAGCAAATTGACTAGCTCCTCTACTCAGCTCCATGTGCCTCAGTGAAATCTGGATTGATTTGTACTTTGTGTGTTCAAGAGCTAATACTTCTACTCATGTAGGCTTGTGAAGAAAAGATCTGCATTTTACTCAGTTCCATTTCAGTCATTCGCAGTTTAGTCATGAATTCCTTTTTCGCATTTGATATCATTCTCATCTGCTCAGCATCAGATCGACAGGATCCGAAAAAGAGAAGAAAGCACTTAACAAACTTCAGGCCCTATGCTGATAGATGCTGGATGTTCCTCTGACGTTCTGAACTCAACACTTGAGGCCTTTTTAGACTATTGGCCTTTTTTGCGCAAGCATTTCTGGTGTCTATTTTTATAGCTACTTGAGTCATAATATAATGGAAGTAATCATTTTTACTTCAGGATGTTTTCTGCCCACTTCTGCTTCCTCTCTGTGCACTAATGTTCTCGCACAACTGTGATTGACTCAGTGAAGGGGAATCAACCATAGGATTAATGCTTTTCCACCCAAGCTGGTTTCAGGGAGGTACTTTTAGTCTTAATTGGGTGCTTATTTCACAGAAGTGACTTGAGGATGGCATTTAGGTAATGTTAGCCACACCTGCTTCTCCGTGCTGTGATTATAATATCTCACAACGTGTGAGTTTCCTCAAAGAATGAGAAACATAAATAGTAGAATTCTGTCAAACTGAATCGGAAAAAAATCAACAGTAAAATTCTGTGTTTTTTGGTCCCGACACTTTTACAATGTGTTTTGTAGCATTTGGGATAATTCTGACAGTTCTACCCACCTCTACATCTTCTCTGCACACTGATAACACCCTCTCATAATTTGTTTGTCACCTCCATAAATAAGCAAACCTAACAATATGATTCTGGTTCGACTCATAAGATTTTGCGTTCTGTAGTTTTCGGACCTCCTTTTTTTTTGGTAGCAGAGAAGTTTTCCTTTTACTTTTTACTTGAGGGTGATTCTTAGACAGTTCTACCCACCTCTGTTTCTTTTATGCCCACTGTTTTTTTTACTTCAATGAATAAGACGAGAAGGTTCTGCCTCAAATTATAAGAATAAAAAAGAATAATAAAATAAAAAAAAACATAATTCTGTAGTTTTTGGACCAATCTTTATTTTTTGGTAGCTAAGTGTTCCTCTTAGTTTTACTTAAGGTTGTTTTAAGCAGTTCCACCTCTGCTTCTTCTATGCCCACTGGTTTGTTACCTCAGTGAATAAGACAAGGAGGTTCTGCCTCAAATAATAAGATTCCGCTTAAACAAATAATCAAAAAGAACAGAATTCTGTAGTTTTTGGATCCACTTTTTTCTTTAGGTTGTTTTTGGTGGCTAAGTTCTCTTCCTGTTTTCACTCATGGATGTTTTGGGGCAGTTCTACCCACCTCTGCTTCTTCTCTGCGCATTGATTGCTACTCTTTCACAACATGTGGGTTTCTCAATGGTGAAAAAATCAAAGGTAAGATTCTTAGAGTCCTCCAGTCCTATAGAGTGGTCACTTTTCTGTTTGTTTGTTTGTTTGTTTTTGGTCACTCCCTGCAAAACACGTACTCGGTGTAGCTCGTCCAGATCTTGTCCTCGTTGGGGTCGCTGCTGGTGTAGGCGCACGTGCCCGTGGAGCTGCAGGCGACCATTCGGAAGCCCGCTTCGGCCAGCCGGTCGAAAGCTTGCTCCAGGAAGTTGTACTTGAGGTAGTAGCGCGAAGTGTAGCGCTCCGGGGGTCGGTCGGGGTCTCGGCTCTCGTTGAGCGTGTCCCCGAACACTTCTTTGGCCAGCGAGGTCTTGCCGCACACGGTGATGCGCGCAACCCTGCGGAACTTGGCGTCCGTCTGGATGTCGCGGCCGATCGTGTACGAGCCCCTGTAGCCTATCGTGATGTAGCCGCACTTGAGGGAGGGCGAGCGGGGGTCGTTCAGACTGGACGTCGTGGTCGTGGAGGAGGACGCGAGCGCGCTCTCGTCGTGCTCGTGCTCGCCCTGTGCCTCGTCGCCAATGGAGTTCTCCTTGCTGACCAGCGGCGCGAGACGCCGCGCCAGGTCGTGCAGCTGGAAGAACTCGGCCTCCCTGCGCAGACCGGCGCGCTCGCGGAAGTAGTCGGGCAGCACGAGGTTGCCGTCGCGCAGGTAGTCCAGGATGTAGCGGAACAAGAAGCCGTCGCGGTCCAGAAAGAAGCGCCCCTTGGTGTCCGTGCTGAGCTCCGAGGGGCTCTGCTGACCGAACATGCGTCCGAGCAGAGAGTCCGGCACCGAGACGAGCGTGGAGCGCCGCGTCACGTACACCTGTCCGCCCACGTTCAGCTCCACCAGCTCCGGGAACGCGCCTGGGTCGCTGTTCGCGCCGCTTTTGCGCGGCTGAGCCATCGTACAGTCCTCGCACGCGCGCGCGTGTGGAAGTGAGGGTGAGGGTGCGTGCGCGCGCGTCCTCCGTTACCGAGCGCGGAGATAATGGAGCAGGGTGCCACTGCTATTGTGAGATTTTGCGCGCGAGGAGCAGGAGAGAGTCTGTCTGTGCGCGCGCGCGTCCTCCAGGGAGCAGAAGAGTGAGAACGCTCTGACTGCTCGCGGTTCCTCCCTTTTCTCCCCCCTCTTTTCCCTCTTCTTCTTCTGCACAGGTTTTGTTTATGTAGCGCTGGAAAGCAGAGCAGTGTGGGAGGAGGAAAGTGACGGGCAGCAGGAGGAGGACTTAACTCTTTATTAACACCGAGACCGAGACAGGCAGAGCAGCGTGCGAGGAAACTACAGCAGAGAGAAACGAATACATACAACACACACAGTTCGATTAATCGAGCACGGCTAAAATGTTCGTTATTTTGATTGGCTGGCGGTTTCGCCCGCGCCAATAAGGTTATAAGGCTATTCCAGGTTGTTATTGTATGGCTGGTCACCCTCACATAATACACGTTTGTTTTATTTATTTATTTAACATCATTGTAACATATAAATACAAAGACATACAGACAGAAAGATAATATTTCCAAAAGTATCCAGACACCCCTTGTGCTGACACTCCATAGAAGAGCATTGCCAATAACATGGGATGCTCTGGAGCAGCATCTGGAACTGCATTCTCTGGAGTGAAAGAGCTCCATCCAGTACCTTTGGGATGAGCTAGAGTGGCCTTCAGAACTGGTCATCCACCATCAGCAGCTGACCTCACAGCTGCTGTGGCTGAATGCAATCAAATCCTCGCAGCAATATTCCAACATCTAGAAAAGCCTTCTCAGAACAGTACAGGCTGTTACTGCAGTAAAGAGAACAAACTCCATATTTTTTAAGTAACACTGGATGAGCAGATGTCTACAAACCTTTGGACATATAATGCATCAGTCTATCTATCTATCTATCTATCTATCTATGAATGAGCACTGGTTTATTTTAGGCTACAGGTTAAAAGCTAAACGAGGTTATAATTCAGCTCCAGGTGTTCATTCTCAGGACTGGCTACATTTCAATCATTAACCATTCGTGCCTATGAACATGTTTAGTGTTTGGACTCTAAATGAGCAGCCAAACTTACACTTCCGTCTACTATCAATTGTCTTGTGACTATTTTCTATAAGCCTGTTCATATAAATGCGCTTTTACGGGCAGTGATCTGTGGATTTTCTGCCTTGTGCTTTCAGTTCCCCTATCTGGTCCTCAAAGGGTGTTTTTTTTTGTTGTCTCCTACAAAAATGAGCTGAATGTTCTCTGCTACACTCCAGATACAGTCAGCCTGTGTCTGTGCAGGAAAATACCGAAAGTTTGTTTTGTGGTTTGGACTCCAACAAGTGGTCCATGGATGAACAGCGTAATAATATTTGCATTCAGTTAGATATTAGGTTTAATTTAAAGGACCAGCAGCGGGCACAGACGCATGTGTTTCATTTATGTGAAAAATGGGCAGTCCAGAGCTGAAGCAGTGGAGTACGGTAAGAGAGCGACATCTAGTGGAGAACGAGTTCATCAAAGGCAGTGTTCTCTCTTCAGTAGCCCAGTTCAACCTTTTTGAACTCAGTTAACCCCACTCAGACACAGAGACAGTCCAGAACATAAACTAGAAAATCTTTCAGTCTTCTCCACAGTCTGTGTAATATTAGGGCCTGGAGAGCTGCACACCTCTCAGCTCTTATCTCATGTCATGTTCTGGTTGTGGACTTGCCTTGTATTAGTGTGCTGTAAAAAAAAAAAATCATAGAAACCATTAATTAATGTTTGTTTAATGTGTTTTGGTTTATCTTAATGAATTGATGCCATGTTAAAAAATTCCTAATGATTCGACAGTTGACCTGTGACTGATTCTAGATGCATTAGATGGTTTTCTAACAGGATCTAAAGGTGTTCTGTGGGAAACTAGTGATCTCTAACAGTAATCCTTGAGCCAATTCCTATTAGGAATAATAATCATCAGATTCTAATCTTAACGGTTCTCTTGTCTTTTTTTCAGCAGGGATGAGAATCATACATAATCGTACACCATATGGCCAAAAGCATGTGAACACCGTCACACCTGTATGACCTTGATTGATATCCCATTCCAACAGCATTACCATTAATATGGAGTTGCCCCTTCTTTGAGGCTTTAACAGCCTTCATTCTCCCGAGAACGCTTTCCACAAGATGTTGGAGTGTGTCTGTGGGAATTTGTGGCCATTCAGTCAAAAGAGAATTTGTGAGGTCAGGCACTGATGTTGGACAAGTAGGCCTGGCTTGCAATCGACATTCAAATTCATTGCCAAAGTGAGGTTGAGGCCAGTGCTCTGTGTGGGCCACTGGAGTTCATCCATATAAGACTCATCAAACCATGTCTTTATTGATCCTGCTTTCCGCACAGTGGCAAAGTCATGCTGGAATGGGAGAGGGCTTTCCCCAAACTGCTGCCACAAACTTGGAAGCATATAATTATCCTAAATGTCTTTGTGTGCTGTAGCATTTCACAATAATAGCACAGTTGACCAGGGCAGATCTAGCAAAGAAGAAGTTCCCAAACTGACATGTGACAGAAACACACGTAAAATCATTGATCTCTTCAGTATTCTACAGCCCATGTTTGTCTATGGAGACTGCAAGGTTGTGTGCATAAGTTTATATTCCTATTAGCAGAGTGTGTGGCTGAAACACCTGAACTCGATAATTAGAAGGGCTTTCCACATATTTCTGGCCATATAGTGTATATAGGCTGTTTCTTCACATCTTGAAAAATAATCAGGATGCTCATATGCACATACAGCAACTGTATATAACACTTAAATCAGTAAACAAAACACATAATCAGAAAAATAACAGAAAAATATTTTTTAAGTCAAAAGATGTGTCCCATCTTGAGTATCATTTGCACTACTGGTTTTGTTGTCCCCTGCTGTATCTTCAGTGACCCACAGATAGGCTAACAGACTTCAAAATGAACAGTCAAAAGTGTCAAGAATGGGCAGTGGAGCACAGTATATATGTGACATCTACAGGATGTCACATATACACTGTGGAAAATGACAGGAAATTGAGTTAAACACAGTGTTCTCTTTCCAGTAGCCCAGCTCAACCTTTTTGAACCCAGTAACCCTGACTCAGACTCAGAGACAAGTCAATGTCCCCTCCCCCCAGCAAAACCTTTCCAGCGTATCCTGCTTAGGCCTGTTTCATGTCATGTTCTGTCTGCAGCCTTGATCTGTGTCTTCTTTAGGTAGGTTAGTATGGCTAATCTACTGAAGAAAGAAAGAAAAAGAAAAATCAAAATTTGATATGTTTGAATTTGTGTTTGTGAACATTTTTATGAGGAAAGACTCCACCGTTCCCATATGGAAATCTGATCTGTGACCATATATGCACATGTATTATAGTATCATAAAGGCTCAGGTACATAATTCAAAGTACATGTACATACATGTAGTGTACATATATGTAAGTATCAAATATTGGACATATAGGCACAATAAATGGATCATACAAATATGCCTAATAGGTGGATAATATATGGATAATATATGCATAATATAAGGTTCATACATATACTGTATATCTGACACATATATTTGATGCATGGATCATACATATATGTCTGATACGAACACTGTTTTTAAAAAGCAAAAAATCTAAATGAAGTACACCCAAAGTGTACAGTCAGTGAAAAAGACCTCATAGTACCTAACATGACTAATGCTTTCTATTATATATTTAAAGATATGTGTAACATATATCTGTAAATGGCTGGAAAATGTGTACCATATATGAAAATGGCCAATTTCAAATTAGTTGGCATATATGTCATGTATATGGCCATAATGTGACTATAAGTTGGATATAAGGGAAACCCATATATGCTAATATAATAATATATTTCCCCCAGTGAGTTTGTGACACATCACTTTGTCATATTGTGTGTCGTTCATGTCAACTGTGCAGTCATACACGAAGATATGTACAAAAAACTCTCTATTTTTGTCTTTTTTAAAAGAAAACTCCAGTTACCCTTTGTCCTTTGAACAGATCAATAGAAATGGTCCAAAACTACATGGGAAAAATCTTGTTCCATTAACTTCCATTATAAGTTAAGAAGTTTTTTTTTTTCTTTTCTCCTGTAAAGTTGCTGTTTTGGAGATATGAGGTTCTGTTCCAACAGCAACAATATATAGGCTAATGTGTGCTGTAAATCCTGAAAAATAATGAGCAAAAATATACATTTTGAAACCAAAGGATATATTGCACTCTGAGATCAATTTGCAACAGCTGGTGTCGTTTTTCTTTGCATTGCCTTCGTTGGCCCACAGGGGGCACTGATTTCTCCCTGAATCTGTTGAGCCAAAAGTGGGCAGATTGACAGACTGATCAAGCAAAAGTATTATTGTAACAAATAAATAAACACACAATCAATCAATCAATCAATCAATCAATCAATCAATCAATCAATCAATCAATCAATAAGCCTATAGTGAAACATGCAGCCTAAACTTACATGTTTGCCTTTCATTCTTTCTTTCTTTCTTTCTTTCTTTCTTTCTTTCTTTCTTTCTTTTTTTGTGTTTTTGTTATTATATTTTTAAGACTGCTATATGTAAATGAGCACTGCTCTGATTGGCTGCCCTGCATTATGCTTCAATCAAAAAGGAGTCCAGGCTGAAATACTCCTTATAACTTCAGCATGAATAAGCAGAGCTAAACTGCTGTAGACTGAAAAGGTGGATATGCTTATTGGTTTTTGTGACATCGGAAAAACAATGAATTTTGCAACTCAGATTCCATGTATGGACCATATGAACTGTGAAGTGAAGGAAATGTTTTTAAAAATTTTACAGTGTTTATGTACTGCATTGAACTTTTCATGTAAAAAAACAACGGAAATTCAGTTTTCTATGATATAGCCTCTTTAAATAAAGAGTAGGCTGCTTTCTACACTTGTGAACTAGGAAAAAAAACATAAGTATTGCTTTGAATACTTACAAATACCCAGAAATTGTAAACTTACACATAGCCTGCATGTAATGCAACTAGATTTATGACTTTCTAAAAAGTTTTTTTGAAATTTAATGTCCAGTTAAATTGCTTGAAAATGAACACTTCTCACCAATGTCTGCACTCATTCATACTGCACATGTATAAATTATGTTTTTATTTATTTATGTATTTCAAGCTTATCTTTCCAAATTACCACCAGA